CCCCCCCCCCCCCCCCCAATGAGCGAGCCTAGAGAGTGACGGAGAGTGCACCCATTAACTCCCACTACTGCTGCTTGCTTCAAGATCTCCCAGACACTGGCATTTTGCAAAAAAGACCCCAACAAACCCACTCTGAACTAATTCTGAGGATTCTTTATTGCTTTCACAATCTTTTCAGTAGTTTCCCAAGAGCTTGTGAAGGAAACATGGGATCTGTTGATTAAACACCATCTTTTTCAGGAATCAAGTAAATGCATGCTTGAAGACAAAGTCATGTTCACTGTCTGTTTCCATCTGAATGTTCCTAGTTGAACACTGGTCAGAAGAATTGTGGGAAAGCAAACAATGTTCTGAATGGTAGGGATGGGAGCAGCAATATGAATGGCATGAGAGGGAGCTACTGGTGCTCTCTGAAATAGAAGCCCAGACAACCTGTCCAGTTGGGCTGGGCTTTTCCAGTTGCATCTCTGAGCAGAAGAGACGGACTGAAGTTTTTACCATGCCATCCGTCTGACATTTATCCAGGGAGATCTTGTCATTCCCTGAGCTGCTTTGACCTCACTCCACTCCAACTTTGTGTCAGGAACTACATCTTCAGGCTCGGGATCCTCACGGACAGTCCCCTCTGGGAGTGCCACAACGATGGGCAGAGGGCCCTGCTCCTCCCGAAACTCCACTACGTAGAGACTCTTCTGGTTTGCTAGCTGTTGGTGAGTTTCCTGGGAGTAAGAGAGAAAAGACAATCCAAGCAATGGTGCCTGATGTTGGTTTACTTCAGGTCAAACTCTACATGGTATATGCGGTAGGAAAAAAATAAAGGTAATTTACGACTAAACAGTTTAAATGCTGTGTAAATTAAATGATTCATCAGGCTCATCGTCATGGGTTTCAAATGAGCTAATTGCATAAGCAGCAGGAATCCAGATAGCTAGACTGCAGATACACTAGCATTACAAGGCATCCTAGAGGAACTTGCTTCTGGAAAGGATCTGGCCAGAAAGGCACATCCTGCTAACAAGCAGGCATGCTGGCATGCTAGTAATGTGTAGTAACATTTTTAGGTCTTGATATGGATATAAATTTGGCTTTAACAACAGTAAAGTGCTTATTACTGCCCTGACAGATAATATTAGCTAATATAATTAGGTGAATTTACATTATTTTTAACTATACCTCTTCCTTGCATACAAGTTGTTTTGTTAACACTCATTTTACAGAATAAATGTCTACTGAGGATAGGAAATCTTTCCCATTCAGGGCAGTCAATAAAATATATCAAGCGTGCATATCTCAAAACAATAATTCATACAGCAGACTCTTCTTCATTCTGTGGAAGACTTCTCAGAGACAATGCATTGAAAATATATTACAGACTTCCTCAAGTCTGATTAACCTCAGATACTGATAAGCATCTATAAGTATCTCATTAGGCAAAGATGATCATAACCCCTTCCCCCCCGAGGCTAAACTGAAAAAGTTGGCTAGGACAGGGTGACAGATTTGACAACTACAGCTTTGCAGGGCTGTATTGGGAATGTAAGCAGCTAAATCCTGGCAGCTACAAGCCTCTAAAACCAAATGAGATAACCAGGAATTTCCAAAGGACTGACTCATCCTAAGGCTGGGGTTCAAAGGAATTCAGATGAAATGCTGCACATCGGATCTTTCCATCAGCTACAGGCAGCTCGCTCAGACAGAAACAACTCCATTGTGAGCACTTTGAGTCGGAGGAAATGACACCACTGCCCTGAATTATTTCAGAGATCTTAATTGTACTAGTGATAGAAGCAGCTGTGACATTCAGTCCTTAGGCAACAAAAACTTAAGAATGCTGACAAACAAGCAGCAGCAACCAAAGCTGGGCCACAACTTCCTCTGCCCATGATTTTTCAAATGCCACCAAAAATACTACAAATGAAAGCCCAGAAATTCAGATGTCCCCTGGAGGCACCTGGCTGTGGAACAGGCAGTTACATACAACTGTTTCTGACTGGACAACTTCAAACAACAGATGAGGAATTAATCACAGGCTGATTTTGTTTGTTTTTTGGAAAATGTTTTCATTTTAAGCCTAGAATATAAACTGTTTGACCAAAACCTGTTACAGTATAATCCTGTTCTGTCCCCTGACCTGATGTATAGAAGCACTGAGAGTGCACTCTACCTGTTGTGTCAAGCCTTTAAAGAGAGCTCTGGTAATGTTAATCAAGTTTTTGGATCCAGAAACCTTGGCACACATGTCTCTAATGTCAATTAATTTGCAGATGGTGATGATAGCTCGGTGGCAATGAAGACTATAACCTGGTGAAAAAAAAAAAAAATAGCATTATGTGATTATTTGTAAGCATACAACTTAGCTAAGTCAGAATAGAGACCTAAGACCTCTTCTTAGCATGTTAGAACACACTGTATCTTAAAAATAGCAAAAAGACCATTCTTCCCAGTCTTTGCAGCCATGCTAACATAAAGATCATTGGGGGTTTTTATACTAAATACACCTTACTTAACATATTGCAAATCCAAATGAAACTGTCACCACCTATAAACAAAACATAAAACCATAAAAAATGCAACCTGTTTAATACCACAGGTTTGGGTACTAAGAAGTACCACTGGCAGCTTTAGAAGAATCTTTAGAAGAATCTTCCACAAACATACCCCACCACCCAGGGAACATTCAAACAAAAGGCAATTTCTTTCAACAACAAAAAAACCACTCTAGTATCCACCCCCCCCAATAAAAAAAAAAAAAAAAAAAAAAGCATCAGAGAAGCAAGGCAACAAGCTTACTTAAAAGAGTATTAATAAGAAGCCATTACAAGGGGACACTCTAGATTTAACCGGATCGTGACTGCTTCTTCTAAAAAGCAATACCTACATAGCTTCAAAACCACTTCCTTTGCAATTTCAGGTGACCAACTGTGAACAACAGCTTCAGTAACTCCTAATGATGGTAAACCTGACTTTAAACTCCTGGTTCACATACATGATGGAGGGATTTAAACTGTTCCCCTATCGTGAAGTTACTGCTCATAACAACTGGTATGCTCAAGTACTGCTATCCTTTGAGCTTCTCTCCAGAAAGAAGTTATGCTTTTCCCCTTCAGCTCACAAAAGCGAGCAGAATACTGTGCACTATCAAGAGATTATCAAGGTACTGTGCAGAAACATCAGTTCCCTTCTCCCAGCCCAGCAAGTGGCATGAATGACACTTTGTTATTACATCAGTGGTACAGTGTCAAGGACTGGGAATGGAAATAAAGAAGGTAACAGACTTCTTGGAGATAAAACTACATTGGGAAGGCAGCAAAATATTTCTAGAAAAAATAATTATTTTAATCAAACTTAAAGAACAAATGAATGTTGTGACACTCATTTGTTTTCAACTTACTGTTCAAAGCAGTAATATCGAAAAAAGTTTGTGGGTGTCCTTGGAAATTACAGGCCAAATTGAAAAATCTTGTAACAACTTGAAATTTGTAGGTGAGTGGGGAGGAGGGACAAGCACATTTCAAAATCCACAAACACAACAGAGGTTTTCATGTCATCTGCACCCATCTCCATCATAGTGTTGTATGAGTTCCAGTGCATAACTGTCGTACATTAGCATTAATTGCAAGTGGTTTCTGAGACTTGACAGGCATTAATGAGGGTTACTTTCTGAGGAGTCTGATTTTGCTCTCTCATTCCCCAGACATTTGTTTCATGTGGCCTAGCTGTATTAATATTTAAAAATTGGCCTGTGATAGTTCTCACGTGTCTTATTTAAAAAGCTGAAAATCCAGGTTATTGATTAGTCCACTCTGCAGGACAGTCTTGCTGCTGAGCAAATGAGGGGGGGAAAAAAATAAATCTCTTCCAGTGCTGCATGTTTTATTGTGCCGGTATGTCCTTTTTTTTTTTTTAACCTACACTTGGAAAATAAACTTTCACCATCCAAAGCCATTTGTTCTGCCATTTGAGAAAACACTGTTTTCTGTGCTACAAAACAAATTCAAGTTTTTGACACAATTACATGTGAATGACCTCTGAAAGGCTATTTGTCAAAGTATCATTCTTGGTGACTTAAAACATTTCTGGCATTCTTATTGTTGCCTTTCTCCCATCTTATCTCAATCAGGTTTCTGCATATTGGTAATACATGAAACTCAGAAGCCAGCAAACTAAGTCCATCAGTTACCGAACAAAATTTATTCCTAACACAAAAGTAAAGGATTCTAACTGCAAACTCCAGCTGTGGAGAGAAAGTTTGGCTCAGACACTTTTAACTTGTCTGTGGCAATCCTGCTGTTCTACTGAGGCTTAATTCAGTGAGGCCTATAGAAGAGAACAGTGTCATTTAAACGTAACAATTTTTTTCACACTCAAAAATAGATACAAAGGTAACAAAAAAAAAAGTATTTAAAATATATGCTTCCTATAAACTAACACAATGTTATGTGCAATTTACATTAGATTTTCTGGGTAGCCTCTAATAAGAGTGTTTAAACAGAACATTCATTTTAAGTCCTCACTAAGGGGCTACTCCAAGTTAAGTTCACATTCACAATACAATACTTTTTAAACTCGGATTTTCACTTGTCTAATATGTAATCCTGACTACACAACTGGGTTTTTCTCCACTTCACAGGGATTAGGATTAAATTCAAGAAAGGAACATTTAAGTGTAACAGTGACTTTTCCCTTTTCTACTGAAACATTAGGCTTTGTTGTGATCATTTGTTGAGATATCCGAGTCCTACATACAGAAATTGCCAGCTGTAATTACGCAAACTGCGAAGCTTCAGCATACATAACTACAGCTGTAATGCCCACAGCACTTTTATACTTTAAGTGGAGACAGTCTACATATGCCATGGTCTAAGGTGAAATCTATGAATAATTTTAATTTCTTGTATTAATTACAGCTGCAGGGTTTCAGTGCTGGGCTTCACAGTCACATAAGTGTATTCGACAAACTGTTCTGCATTTCCCCTTATTAATTCACATTAGGAACTAATTTACACTACTCAGAGATGTATCAGTGTGGCTAGCAGAGTAGTCCCGTGACTACTGTAATTGTAAAGTCAAGTCAGAGGTGAAAATCGATTAAGAGCTGTCCATACTCCAAAAGGTAGCATATTCTGCAGCACAGATAAGCAATATCCCCAGCAGTTTCCATCCAGCTGGCATGTGCTAGAAACAGGAGCTACCTGGAATGGTGGCAGACATGAAGTCCAGAGCCTGCCTCCAGTTAAATCTTGTTCTGCAGTATGTCCACAAGTCATTTAATTGTACTAAAATTACAGCCAGCTCCTGCTTGTGCTATGAAACCTTCTCATAAAACACAAAAGCCTATCAGGGACTAAGGTAAACTCAGCAAGAGCTTTATCTATACCATCCCTAAAAATCTCAATTTTGCATAGATATATGTTACAGCTTGTTTTCAGAGCATGAACACACAACAAAGTCTCTCTCACTCACACACACATACAATTTATCTACAAAGTTTTATGTACTGATCTATCATTACACTTCTTAGTAAGGCCCACGATGCCTGCTGTCCAGAGCACACTGGACATAAGCACAATTTTTTCTTAGACAACATCAAACCCGTTTCAGGAAATGTACAATCTAGTTCCATCAGTTATAAAACAGGGAAAATATTCATTAAGTGGAAAAGTGTTTCCTGGTTTTTGGAGGATACTTGCATATATGTGAAGGTGCTGTGTAACTGAAAAGGCTGGCAAGATACTCAGACCAGGCAAAACACCGGCCAAAACTGGCAACAACAAGCTACCCAGCTAAGGTGCTAATGTGACAGAAGTGGACTCATATTCTGACATGGTTCAACATGGTACTCTCACAAATAAACTAAGGACATAAGAACCAGGCAAAATCATCACTGAAGTAAGTATCTCCATGACCAGCAGTTTGCTGTCAGGCCAAGAGCATTTTCCAGATAGGATCCTGATGTGTATTTGTTATGGCTTTAATATCTGCAGGTATCGTCACTGATGACTTGAATAGGAGAACAGAGACTGAAAAAAATGGATTGAGGATATTATCTTGGGAAAAGCTGTACTGGAGGTCAGAAGAAGTCAATGTAGGTCTGACAAACTGGAGAAACAGTTTGAAACCAAAACACTGAAATTCAACGAAGACAGATGCAGAGTGCTTTGCTGAAAAATCAAAAGCACAGGTACAAAATAGAGGAGCCTGACTAAACAGCAGCAGAAAAAGGATCTAGGGATTAAAATGGACACCACCACCCCCACCCCAAGATCAACAGAATTATTCTGCTGCAGCACATTTGAAGCCTAGAACAAAATGCATACTACCTAAGTTTTTCCAAGGATTATAAATCAATGGTGTTCATGTGTTAATTGTTGTTCAGCGGTGCTAACAGCTTTAAGAGGCCTAGACTCAACCCGCAGCGTGGATGCACGCACAGTCCAGTAGAATGGCAAGTGTAACCTCTGGGGAGGGTGAAGAATGGAAGCTAGCACCAAGAGAAGGGCTCCAGCTCCACATAAAAGCTTGCCACTATGAAATAGATCCACTGCCCTCAAGGAGGAGGAGAAGCCAGATGTACCTCCAAGCAAAGCATCTGGGCCAACTGACCGTGACAATGCAAGACCACTGGGAAGAAGCAGTGACTGGTAGTAATGGGCAACTCCCCGCTCCAGGGAAGAGGCACTCATCTACTGACCTGACCTGTCATCTAGAGAGGTTTGCTGCTTGCCAGGGGCCTGGATCCCAGATGTTGTGGAGAGACTGCTGAAGCTTGTCTGAGCCTCTATCAACCCTTGCTGTTCTTCCATGAGGGCACCAATGATACTGCCAGGAACAAATCAGACTATCAAAAGCAGCTACAGAGCTCTGGGGGTGACAGTTAGGCACATGGGCCCAAGAGGTGTTCTCAAGTAGCAAGAAAGGGGAAGGGCACTGATAATGCAGGTCAACAGCTGGTTGCAGAGGTGGTGGCATTGGCAACAGGGTTTTGGTTTCTATGACAATGGGACCTTGTTTGAGGATCAGCGTGTGCTTGGGAGAAATGGGATCCACCTTGCTACGTGAAGCAAAGGTATCCTTGCTGGTAGAATGGCTAACCTGGTGAGGACTGCTTTAAACTAGGAACAACAGGGGAGTAAGTTATCAGCAGAGACAGACAGACAGACAGACAGACAGACAGACAGACAGACAGACAGACAGACACTGACCCTTCCTGCAAGTGGTCCCAGCTTTTACCCCTGAGTGGGACACCTGACCTTTGCTTACTTAATGCAGGACACCTGGGGCTCCTTTACCTACTGGCTCTC